CGATTAGTCATTCTTACATATCATTTCTAGAACCTTTTCTTCTGTCCGCTAGAATCCGCAAACCCGAGTCCTTTGTGCCTCCCCATCTATCATAGTTAGTTAGCCTTTGAGAAGCGTACCTCCGTATAATCAGCGGGGTTGCCCCGGACTCCGGCCTTGTAACACTGCTCTTCCTGGCTAGACAAGCTGACATATACCTAGATACCAGGGTAGCTTATATACTTCCTAGCGATATGTAGTACTATAGAGAACAAGATAGAGAGTAAGCCCGGGGGAGACGGCGATAAAGATCCCTAAATGATTGTAGAGCGGGCCATTTGTTCAAAGAATGAATTCGCTTATGTCCGAAGGGAAAATCGAGTGACCTTTTTACTATCTGTTGTACACTCATAAATATAAAGTAATTGATCTTGATTAAAATATACTTGGTAGAAAGTAGTAGCAAAAGAAAGACGTACACCCTTGAAATACTCGTTCCATTGTGGTCGTTGTCCTCTTTTAGGTAAGGGGATCGGCCGTAACCACGAGACCGAACCCAATCTCGAGCATATCAGCTTTACCTCTTGGCGGGAGTATACGAAATATAGATGCCAGTACCTTTAGCGCGCCTATTTTGGTTACATACATTCATAAGGGCATGAATAACAGAAGACGGGCCAGCAAATATAAAAAGGTTCACTGGTCCCTGATTATCCTTCCTTTTCTTGACCACGATAACCATTCATCTGGCGTATACATAAAGGGCATTACAGACCATACTGCTACGGCAAGCAGCGGATACGATCGGCCATACCAAGGCAACTCAACCCTATATTCAGGAGCCCGAAATCTTGAAACCTACTACGAAGTGTCTCCAGTCTAAGCCCACCATGGCCAGGACAGTCGTCGTACTAGGAGCCGGCGTGGCCGGGCTGCCTATCGCGCACTACCTCGTCCGGCAGACCCTGAAGCAACACCAGGACCTCCGCGTCATCCTCGTGTCCCCCCACGATACCTTCTACTGGAAGTTCGCATCGGTGCGCTTCGCGCTGCCAGACCAGATGGCCGAGGACAAGTACATGTTCCCGCTAGCGGACCAATTCGCCTCGTATCCTTCGGGGAAATTCTCGCTCGTGATCGGCGCGGCCGAGACGCTGGACCCGGAGCACAACACTGTCAGCGTTCGTGTAGCCGACGGCGAGCTACGCAGCATCGAGTACCATACGCTAATCGTAGCGACGGGCTCGCGGGCTCACGCCGATATGCCGTGGAAGGAGCTCGGCACGACGGCGCAGACGCGCGCGAGCCTGAGCGAGCTGCGGGCCGCGATCCGGGACGCACGATCCATCGTCGTCGCGGGCGCGGGCCTCACGGGCGTCGAGTTCGCCGGCGAGCTGGGCTCCGCGTACGCCAAGCCGGGACTGAAGAAGGTGACGCTCGTCGGCGCCGAAGCGCTGCCTCTCGAGAAAAGGATCAAGGAGGACGTCCGCCAGACAACGCGGCGCGAGCTTGAGAAGCTCGGCGTCAAGTATATCGGAGGCGCCAAGGTCACGTCGGATGTCAAGAGCAAGGAGAAGACGGTCACGATCACGCGCAACGACGGAACCACGGAGACGCTTGATGTGGACCTTGTCGTCCCCACGTTTGGTGTTGTGCCCAATTCTGAATTTGCGCCTGAGGCGTTGCGCGATGCTACTAGTCGCTTGAAGCAGGGCAAGGACTTGCGGGCACCGGGGTACAAGAACGGTAAGCAGATCTGCGGATATTATTTTTTTCTCTCGCGCTGCCAACTGGGAGAAATACAAACCTACCATCCCCCCATCTCGTCTATTTCCCTCTTGACACTCGGCATGAATTCTCCCTACCCCTGAAATAGCACTTGATAAATCACGCCTCTGAGTAGGACAACCTCTGACGCTTATGTGTTTCTTTAGTGTTTGTCATAGGTGACATCGGCAACTTGCAGCCAGCGCAAGCAGCCCACACTGACGCGCAGACACGACATCTGATGACGCAGTTTAACTCGTACTTTTCGGACAAGTCGGTTGAGCCGTACGCATTTGACCCAGACAAGATCCAACTTGCGCTCACCATCGGCCGTGATCGCGGAACCGGCCAGGTGGGCTCGTGGCGGCTTTGGAGTATCCTCGTTTGGTTCCTCAAGGGGCGACACCTCGGAACAAATACCGCAGATACATATGCGAGGGGCGATTCTGGTGCTATGGGGAAGGCGTGGCCCAAATAAAAGGCCGTGAAGGTTTCAAGTACACTGTTTTCCGTCTCTTATTATCTGTCAACCATGTGGTGGGAGAGTATTGACCCACAACGAGGCGCTGATTCATATATTTGTGATATACCACTTTATATGTCCTAGCCGAGGTTCACATAGGCTTTTGTATTTTCATAATGCTAATTAATATACCCTGTGACCATAAACCAGGATTGTGTTTGTATCCCTCGTCAGTCAAATGACGAACTGCACTAGCACCAAGGGATATATAAGTCTGTTGTGAGTTCCTCACGATCAAAGATCCCTTTACTACTCTGTTATAGAAATGTCAATGCTGGCGCGAGTTACCTTGAATCTTCAGGCGTATATAATATGTTTTAGACCTCTCGCTACTAGCTGTGGCAGATGGGTGGGGTTTGAGTTAGTGGGTAGACATGCTTCGAGGTGTAGAAATGGTAACACTAATGAGGGTTCACATTTGTTGTGCATCTATAATACATGAGAACCGTCCAAGTTGAAGGGCTATGGTGCTGATGTTTGATATTTGTCATTTAGCAATATAGTAGATTGATTGGATGACCCATTTGAATCGCTATCTCAATCGGGTGACGGCAGCTATTCACTCTGCTGCGATTTTAGTAGCATGCAAGCCAGTTTACGATAGCCTAGGTGTAAGAGAAGTGATCTCTGTATATTGTCATACTCCCAAGTCATCATTACTAATAATAGAAATGGAAAATGCATTGTAATATTATAACATATGTATTTAAGGCAATCATGCGCCCTCGTACGCCTTTCCGCCGTCCGTATTGTATCCCCGTATCCTTCAAGCCCGTTTCCTTGAGCATGTTATAGATAACCATGATTCCTTGATACAGGAGAGTCTTGTGTCCTCCCAACTGCCATCTGTCGATAGCTGAGGAGTAAGAATCAACCCCTCCCTCCTACCGCCCCCGCCCTCTCTCTGTTAATTCCCTATCTTCGTTCTTTCATTATCCATTCGTTTACAGGCCGATCCCGGAAACACCGGGGACCTTGAGACCGCCAGAGTCTTTGTTGTTGTCGCTCTTCTTGGGGCGGGGATCCAGGCGCTTCAGGCCCTCGGACGTCAGGTTCCCGACAGGCTCGAGGATGCCGCCTTGTCCGATCTGGCTTGCTGCTAGGTCGTTCGTGCTGTCTTGGAGCTTGTCGACTTGGTCGATGCCTGTTACTTTGGTTCTTTCGAGGCCGTCTGTTTTTATTTAAGAGGAATTTGTTAGTGGTTGGGTGATATTGGGGATTGGGGTTGAGGGGTTGAGATGATGGCGATGAAGACGTACCTCGCGCTACATAACTCGTCCTGTTATCCCTAGTGAAGTACTTCAGGAAGGTGTCCTCGATCCATGGCATCCAGGCGTCGTATTGCTCGTTGTATTTCTCCCTCGCCCACTCCATTGTGCTTTGACTCTTCTTATCCTTCTCCTCCTCTTCTTCTTTGTTCAGTTTAACGGCGTCTGCCATTGCTGGGATTTCTGTTAGTATCTAAGTTTTGGTTGCTAGTTACCTAACTATAAGAATTGGATGCATGAGGTTTCGCTTACTTGTTTTGCTCTTGGGTAGGTGCTGTTTGAGATAGTTGCGATTCTGCTACTCTGTGTTGTTGTAGATACTCGTGTTTAATTAATGCTTGATCTGTTTGGTATGGATGGAAATGGTTATTAGGTACGAGAAGAGACAATAGAAGGTTAAGACGTGATGTGATATGATGTATGAGCTTTGGGTTCTTAATGATTACATAGTATTGTACTACTTCAGATATCTACAGTGCTGTACTCGATGACCACCTATGACCTCACACATGATGAAGTCGATTCATCAGCAGGTTTTCCCCATCCCACCCTTTTCTGATGTGGCCGTTCAGCGATGGTGCAAACTCAGATGGGCTGTGTACTACTCTACGGTTTGCATTAAGACTGAGGGGGGTGTGTGGCATATACGTCACTGGGTGGCGCTCTGCGGATGTCTCATTGGTTCGATTTCGTGGACATGATCTGAACAGGGAAGCCCATTCTTGTCAAGCCACACTTATAGTAGCTTTGAGTTAGGGCGGCTTGTGGTGTCATATGCGGAGCGCTGCAGGACGGCCGTTGAAATGCTTTTAGCAATTCATTTATTACACAGCATATGTTTAGTAAAATACGAGGAATTTTTGCGGAATTGTTATATTATACAGGAAAAATAAGGATTGAAATTTTGATGTAAAGTCTTGGCTTTCTTTGAAGTTGAAACAGACCTTCGCTTAACAACTTAACAGTCAAGGGCTTCGAGACATAGATAGTATAAAGGATTCATGAATTCTCGCTGTCGCACGAAGAAACCAAATTTACATGTGTTCTAGCCTTCAACTACATACATACATCGGTATACATGGTCTTTAAAAATAAAGCAACTGCCTGCTGCCACCACACAGTCTGGTCACAAATAGGGGACTTAGGACATTGCTTCTTAGCGCTCATACATATTAATTCTCAACTACCTCAACCACACGGCAATAGCAAAACCACTACTAAAAAATGGAAAAAGAAGATTTAACAGATTTCCCAAGTTCATCAACTGGTATTTACTCAGCAAGGTAGTCTAGATGTATTCTTGTTACCCAGCCGACGTTTCTGGAGTACTTGTTTGGCAGATATGTATATGCCATTACGGTCCGGAATTTCCCGACAGTCGATTTGGCGCAATGGTAGCGTACAGACCTCCTAAGTCTGGGGTTGCGGGTTCGAGTCCCGTGATCGATGCAATTGTTTCCATTGGGCGAATGGTCTAGGGGTATGATATTCGCTTTGCATGATCTGATTGTGTGTGGTACTACATAATGTTCAGAACTCACTGCCTGCGAAGGGTCCGGGGTTCAAATCCCCGTTCGTCCATCAACTTGCTCGGTGCAGCTCTCGTTGCGAAATCGATTTTTTTGTCCTTGTTTTTTTTTTCCTTTTTCTTCATCACAAGGGATGAATATTCAGAATGTATGGGTTATCTATCTAGTGTATCTTTCAGTGAGGGACAAACGGACACTAATAGGAGCACAATACCAATTATTGTACCTAGTATATATAATATACAACAAACAAGATGGCTTGTAGATGTTTTTTTGAACTGCTGCTGCTCTGCTATATTCATGTTGAGTAATGAAAGTATCTCTCATGACCTTAATCAGAAAACCTTTTAATGCTGTCCGCATCGATTTGCTCTCCCGTTTGCAATCACCAAATGAAAGAAGTAAAATGAGAATAACAATTCAAATCTAGTACATAGCGAGAGAACTTCCAAACTCTTCCAGTTCGAATTCCGTACTTCTCTCCAAGAATTCAAAATCATTACATTGCAAAACATAGTAATCCACGTTTAGGCCTTCTGTTCAGTTGTCTCCAGTCGTGTCCTTGAATGTCCAGTAAGAAAGTCTTTGAAAGGGGGTATCAGCATCGTGTCGTAAGCTGTGAAATCGTGAAGAATAGAAACTTGATGCGCTATGGCGTCTGATATCGCGTAACGCTGAGTCCCCTGTCAATTATCGTAAGGTCATACAAAATGAGCCAATGGAGGTAGATGATAGTTAATACAGTCGAGAGTCCTGAGACGCCTAAGAAAATCCGCAAAAATAATGTCGTGTGTGTGGTATTCGCTAAATCATAGAAACCCGGGCTCGTTCCCGATTACACCGATACTGCCTCGCCATCGAGGGCCAATAGACCCACGAGGAGTATGTGTGTCGTAGTCGTCACTACCACGATTGCTGCCGGTGCTCGCGTTTGATTGTATCAGTAAACTGCTCGTACCACTCAATCGTTCCGTGAACTCGTTGAAACTTATATTCTTCATATCAGAAGTCGAATGTCGTTTCTCGTGAGACCATCGCATTGCAGTGCTTTCCGGATGTCTCGTGGGAGGAGATGACGAACTGTGAAGTGATGGACCGGGAATATAGGGCTGGCTGCTGGTCCGCTGAGCCGTCGGGCGAGTTCGTGAATGTGACGTATGCGGCCGTAAAACAGATGGTGCATTTCTCAGCCCAGAATCGCTGTATATGGAGTTGTGGCGGCTGGTGATGAACCGAAGCGCTTTGAACGTTGACGCATCCATTCCGTCGTGATCGGCGTTTTCAAAGGAGTAGTTGTCGCTATCTTCATCGTCGTCATCGACACCCCTACCAAACGCATCGTCGTCACTGTCATCCTCTTCCCATGTGCTCCTCAAAGATTCTTGCTTTACTTCTCTCTCCCTCGTGTTATTTGGACGACTTTCTGATTCACGCATCAGTGCCTCAAATCTCGCTAGGGAAGTGAGTTTCTCCTCTCCCGCAATCTCTCGTTCGGAGCCGGGGATACATCGCATCTGAAAAGCCCTGTCGAGAATTGTCTCACGGTGTGCCACAGGTGGACTAGACTCCAAGCTCGGCTGAAGAGGACTTTGAGAAGAGCTTATGCTTCCTCGACCCATGATTGGAGAGCTCACGGTCGATGATCGACCTTGTGCCATTGTCCATCCTTCTATTAAGTGCTCTGGATATTCATCTAAAGTGGATGCCGGCGAAGGCAGCTCAGAGTGCTGTAGGTTGGCGTAATGCTGCTGCACAAAGTTCATAGCAGCTGGCACCATGGAGCTAGCTTGGGAAGATAGATCGCTTTTACGAGAGCGAAGACTAGGGGACCCAGGACTGTATGTCGAGCTTTGATCGCGTGTCGAAGGAAGGGTTCTACCTGATGATTTTGGTTGTAATTTTGATCTCAGCTTTCCCTTCGCCTTCGCATTAGAGACCGGCGATGACTTCTCAGCAGCATCCGGGATCGTAGGGAATGGACTTATAAAAGCCGGCGATGTCGGACTGATTGGACTGATAGGCATGGATTGGTGACGCTGCACGACCAACTGGATGTACCTCGCCCAATCCTCCAAGCTATATTGCGACCCCTCAGCGGCGTGGAACAAGAGTGTTGATGGGCCCGAGTCCTTGCTGGACATCAGTCCTCCGGACCTGCTCGATCGACGCTTTCGCAGCTTATCGGTTGCCGGATCGGGGGAAATCTGAATAGTGAGAGTAGGAATATGGCCCTGCTTCCGTTGAGAAACATGTTGTACTTGACAATCTGTAATTGACGCAATCGAATGTTGATGAATGGGTTCGGTATCCTCCTGTCGGCGTGTTAGCAAATGCAACCCGTTTGTTTGAACCACCAGAGCGCACCTTGGACTTATAAACTGAAAGATAGATGGCGTCTGTTGGACTCCTTAGTTGCGACCTCGAGGACCAGCCGCCCACATCTCTACTGCGAGCTGCGGATAAAACCTGTGACAGTGAGAGGTTTGGCTGGTGACCATCCCTTTGCGACAAAGAGCCAAAGACCACATAACGTGGCTGAGAAAAAGATTTGTCAGTAATGAACAGAACAAAAAAGTTCTATGCCCAGTGAGCGACAATTAAATACCTTCCAAACAGGCCGTCCAAGAATCGTGCCCCGATCTGGGGGCATAAGAAGAATGTCCTCCATTGAGACGGTGGCGACTTGGGAGTGTGGATGACCAGTCGTACGGTTACTCCGCAAGTTGCGCAAAGCGTTCAGGTTTGACGTTTGGTGTAGAAATCGGACGGCGCACAGCTAGACATAACCCAAAAACAAGAGGCCCAATTCTTTTAGTTGTTGTCAAAACGTCATACTGAGCGTGAAGTAGTGGGAACAAGGACCTGCTGTTTCTCAAGCTGATTGAATGAAGCCCAGCTCACACAAGCGAGAGTGTGTGGAGGAATGGTGGTCAGGTCGTGTTGCTCTTCTTCTTCAATAAACAGAATGGCCTGTGAAGAGACGTCTCAATTCGTCTTGACCAGTATCTCATAAGATCGTAAAAAAAAAAAAACAGAAAGAAAGATGGCCAACTACCTACTAGCAAGAAGTGGCGTGGAAGGGAAAAAGAGAGTGCAATGTACAGTATGAAGTAGAGCAGTATTGTATTCTAACCTTGTCGATTACGCCGACCGCAAGGCTTGCTCGTTGACAGTCAACTAATCCTTGCACACTCACATATTTAATTTCAGTATCCTACATAGTGCAGCTACACTATACTGGTATAGGTAGACAGGGTCAGACTACCTCATCCGAACGGCCAATTAGTAGGCCGCTCATGGTAATGTGCTAGTAGCGTGATTGTGCATCTAGGGAAAAAATACCTACCTAGTGTAGGGTAGCGATGGGATCAATGTACATATGCTAGACTAGTAGTAACTACTACGCTACTGTAACTCCTTGAAAACGCCATCTAGTCCATTATGAAATACATACTTAGTATGGAGAAAAAAATAGACTTATGCTAGGCCTACAATAGTGTACAAAAAGTGGAAGGAAATTACCTGTAGCGACGCTCTAAACTCGAAGCAGAGGAATCCGAATAACTTACAGTATACTACCTATTAAATTTCGTATTCCACGCCTGCCCATTACTGTTTCGTATTTACAGTAGAGCATTGTAGGTAGCTACGTAAGTAGGCATCCTAGACTCCCCTACTGTATGGTCTCTTCAGTACTACTTGGAGTACACGATAGAAGTAGCGCAGTGTAGGGACTAGAGATGGTGAGTGTTGTAGGTAATACTGCCCGTTATTATTGACAGGGTAATCTGGAGGGGCTATAGTATGCGCCGCTGCACATCCCCCTGAACAGTAGTTAGCACCTTGCTCTGAACAAAGATTTGAGCCCGGCAGCTGGAAACCTGGAAACGATTGGCCAGGTTCAGGGGTTTTAGGGACAGCCCTCGCGCAAACCATACTAATTACAGAATCCTGAACTTGGGTGCGCGCAACCAAACAGGACATTCAAGTCTTGTGACATACTCTGTCATGTTGTGTCGCGAACCGGCGCAAACGAAGAGCAATAACTGTGACGAGTTTCCATTACACCACATGGTGTGCCTAGTGCTAGGCAAACTGGAGAATTCCCAATTGGCTTCTTGGCCCCTATACAGACTCTCGGGGGGCCAGCCACGTGTACCTGATAGTCCGCGATTATTTTTAAAAACTCGACGTAATTTATAGATACTCCAACCTGGCTAGGTAACGAAACTCTGCGAGACACCTGGTCAGACACCTGGCGTTGATATGGGACACAGGTTACAGGGTCGCACGCACTCAGCAGCGCCGCTTATTTCAGCCGTTCTAATAAGTCCAATAAGCTCTACGCTAAGTACTAAGTAGAGCAGAGAGACATTTGAAAGCCAAGACTACTAAAAGTATTTTAGAAGATAGTGTATAACTTATCGCCTGTCCACCATACTCGAGGCCCAATAGCTTCACTGCAACGCCGATGTTGCCACTAAGGTGATACACCACTTGCAGTAGTTCCCACGAATGGCATAGAAACGACGTAGAAACGGACGATTGTTGATTGGCGTGCGTATAGCTATACTAAGTTCTAAATGAGTAGGTAGTTTACTGGCTGGCTACTGTATGCATCGGTCTATTTGATTGGTGAGACCAACCGGTTCGTCGAGTAGACAGGTAGGTCGCATTGCCTGCGACCATCTTTCGAGAGTGGCATTGACTAGTGTAATTCTGAGACAAACTTCTTGTACAGTACATACTAAGTATATACTGTACGGTGTAGCGATATCCCCCAGTGTATGTACTAGCCAGGGTGCTAGCCGAAAAGTAAGACTTTATGTATGAGGTGCAGTAACTACACATGGGAAGGGCAAGGAAGGACATAACTAGACTGCCGATACCACTACACACACGTGTGCTTATGGACGTAGTAGACGAGGATCAAGGTTATATACTTACTTACAGAACAGCCCGCTTGACCAAAATTCGGCAGCTAATGGCAACACTTATGATGAGTATATAGAAGCATGCCGTAGACATAGGCCTCCAGCAACATTCAGAAGC